AAAATAAAATATGTTCCAGGCAGGTCACACCATTCCCTAAGCGTGCCGTTCTGAGAGCAGGGATGGCACCTATGGTTTTTCTTGAAGCCGGAAATAGAGTGCAGGTGCCGAGGTGGCCAGTCTCCAGGGTATGCTGGACCAACCTCTTTTCTTGTTACTTGTCCTTCATCTACATCTTCTCTGATGCTCCCAATTTTGGGGGTATTGTCTGAGGAGCAGGATTTGGCAGGAGAAGGAATGCGTGGGAGATATATGGAGGGCACCACCACCAGCTCTATACACTTAAGACCCCATCAGTTCATATTCTGCAGGCAAATACACCCTTCTTCTGACGGTAGTTGGTAGAACTCTGTCCCCCAGAAAGATATGCCCAGGGCCAAACCCCCAATACTTGTGTATCTGACCTCACTTGGAAAAAGGGTCTCTGCAAATATAATTAAGGGGAGGCTTTCGAGATGAGATCATCCTCGACTGGGGTGGGCCTTAAACTCAAAGACATGGATTTGGTATCCAATAGTGTCCTTCTAAGAGATGGAAAAGGAGAACACACACTGAGACAGAGGGGAGAAGGCCACGTGGAGACCCACAGAAAGACGAGGCAGAGACTGGACTTGTACAAGCCAAGGATTGCCAGCAACCACCAGAGGAAGGAGAGGGGCATGGGATGGACTCTTCCTCAGGGCCCCCAGAAGGAGCAAACCCTGCTGACACCCTGATTCTGAACTTTTGGCCCCCAGAACGATGAGAGAATAAATTCCTGCTATTCTAGGCTGCCAAGGTTGTGGTTGTTTGTCATGGTGGCCCCAGGTCACAGACCCGACCCGTTTTTCCCCTTTGAGCAAGGACTGCCATGGACAATTTGACCGATGGGAGAGTCCAGCCTTCACGTTCCTTTCCCCAGGGAATTTGGCAGCATTTCTCAGATGGCCTGGTCACCAGCAGAAGAGGGCCCCCTGTGAGGTGCTGGGCTCTGCAGCTTCCGGAGCGGAGGGATTGAGGTCCTCATCCATATCAGATCTGTCTGCTCCAACCTCAGCCCTTTCTTCCTGCCTGATCCAAAGGCTACTTTCTAGCTGTTCTTCGGCAATTTCCAGGTCCTCCTCTGTTTGTAAGACAGCCACAGTTTCTCGGGGTAAGTCTGAGGAATACAGCCCGAGTTTAGCCTTAAAACCAAACATTGCTTCATATGGACTTCGCTGCAGGGACATGTCAAACAGCTGATTCCTCACCATCTGCATGAATCTCAGGCCTTCGGCCCAGCGACGTGAGTGGTTACTCTGCATCCAGGCATTTATCATGTTCTTGACGTCATGGCTGGCTTGCTCCAGGGAGCCCGGGCCCTGGCCAGGGTGCTGCTTACCACAGACCATCTTTAGGTCCGGCCATACTTCATTGAGCTCATGAACAACCTGGTTTGTGAACTCCAAGCCACTGCCAGAGTCTAACACGCTAGGTGTACCAAGAATCGTGAAAATGTCCAATAGGACACTGACCACCTCATGGGCCTGCTTCGCTTTTAACGGCCGTAAAATAATAAACTTGGTCAAGTGGTCCTGGTAATATAAAATAAACTTGAACTCACCATCGGCATTTGACTGCATGTCAAGTACTTCAACTTGGCATCTGGAGTCAGTGTCCTTAAAAGCCATGGGCCTGGGGGCAAGACCTCTCTTGGGTACCGGGTTCTTCTGGTGGCACTGTTTACAGAGTGTCAGATACAAGACAATGACCTCTTTGGTGACATTCCCATATTTTCCTTGTAGCTCTTTGAGCATGCGTGTCCGCCCGCCGTGCCCAATATTGAGATGCGTATCATGGAGAATATCAAACAACTCTTCCTTATGCACGTAATACCGAATTCGATCCCGTTCTCCATGGGTCGCCTCTATCAGTTTCTCTGTGCCTTGCACAGAGATCACGTCGTATTTTGCTGCACGGCGGTAGTCACGCGAGGACTTCTTCCCCTTTTCCTTAGCTTCTTTGACTTCCTTTATCGTTTGAAAGTACTTTTCTTTGGAAAATACCTTGCTATTGTAACTTTTGCTTTCTACTAACTTTGTCACGCTTTTAAGAAACTTTTCTCTCATGTTATATATCTCCATTTCCAGATCACTTGTAGTGGAAACACCAGGGGGGTCATTTCCAGCTTTCTGGGGCATCGTGGAGAACTGTAAGAAGGAGCCTAAGAAAGGGAGAGAGAAAACAGAGTTAAAATCGCCGATATTCCTTCTAGGAGACTTTCCCTCCGAAGTTCCTCATTCTTCCATCTGATTTTTGAAGACTACCACACAGAAGAAAGATAACATAGTATAAAGCGATAACAGAATAAAGCAACTAGAAAGCCAACTAAGATCGCTCAAAACCAGAGCAGGTCAAAAGAATTTTAAGATATATATAGAAATATGTAGTAATTTTAGACTTCAGGCAAACAGAATAAATGAAACTGTTAGCTCATAAAGTGAAACCTAATTAACTGGTCTTTATTTATTAATTGAATAGGAGAGAGGATACATGGAAATGCTTAAGGCAGTAGACAAATATCCTCCCTCAGTAACTTTTAAAATAATATAAATGGAAGAATGTTGCTGGAAGGTACCACATGATAAGAGCAAACTCTGAACTTGAAGTTAGGAAGGCTAAAAAGCCAACATAATTTTTTTTTTAATTTTTTAAAGATTTTATTTATTTGAGAGAGAGAGAGAGAGAGAGCTCATGAGCAGGGGGAGAGGGAGAAGCAGGCTCCCCACTGAGCAGGGAGCCTGATATGGGACTCGATCCCAGGACCCTGAGATCATGACCTGAGCCTAAGGCAGCCGCTTAACTGACTGAGCCACTCAGGTGTCCCCAACATAATTAATTTCTTGTGGCTGAAGAGTCTGTGCTCGTTTTAGGAGAATCAAGGAGAAAGTAGTGGGAACTTTTTGAATGATAGTTTTCCCCTTTTGATGGTACAGGGGGTTAGTGAATGAAGATTCTGAGTCCTTACCCTGAGGGACCACGTTCTCGTAACTGTCCAGCATTGTGTCCCTGCAGCAGACCTTTCAAACAGTTCCAATCTTTGGTCATCTCCTCAGATGTCGCTACCTCTTGAAATGACACCAGCTGCTGCCACAGGGACCATTCCTGGGGCCTGGGCTACGGAGCGGCCGCAGCAGGACTGGGGGAGAGACAGTGGAGGGTACCAGGAATGAAGGCAGCCAGCATAACTGACTTGGAATGTGAGTCACGTGAATATTACAAGGAAGGTAACAGAAGTCAGGAAATGGTCTCCTATCGAACCAGATGAGTCCAGCTTCGTGGCTGAGGAAAACAAGTTCTGCCCTCCTGGGAGGTCTGCAGGCCTAGACTGTTTTGACCCTGCCTGAGCTGAGGCCCACATACTTCCAGAACAAAGCAGAGAGTCCAAGTGAACTTGAGTATTCCAGGACTGGGAGAAACCTTCCGGTACAGGCCTGATGGCCCTGAATAGAGGTGGCAGGGTCTGTTTCCAGAAATGGAAAAACTGCACCTATGTGCATAGAGATTTGTCAGGAGATTATCATGCCAAAAAGAGGTACGCCAGATGGTCCACACTCCACCAAGATCGGAGAATTCCTCAGGGAGTGAGCTTGACAATCAACTTGAGATTCCTTAGGACCACTCCAGGTTGTAGGATGGTGTTGCGGCCAGGGAAAGAGTTCACATGATGATAACAGGGGTAACAACAATTGGGGGAAAACAAGATCCCTGGAATCCCAGCCATCAGATGCAGAGCCGAGGGGCAGGGCAGAATCCTGAAAAGCAGAGAAAGATGAGAAGGTTTCAAAGCTCTGAGCAAGAGTCTTGGTTAAGCTGAGGTCCTGAAGGTTCTCCATTAAAAAGGCTTCAAACTCCCGTGCTCAGCATCACTGGATTCTAAGACACTGCTGACTATAAAACCACTGACTTTCTGATGACTTTCTTTTGAGGGGAAAAAGCAGAGAACCTATGTTAAATGAACACATCCAAATTAACTATGTTGGAAAACATACATTTTAGTGTTGAAGAAATAGAATGTTTGCAAACGCTGTTTAAGTCTGAGCTCAAGATCCTCAGTGTAAACGGACATTTTAAAGGCTCTGAGGGCGCCTGGGTGGCTCAGTCAGTTAAGTGTCTGCCTTCGGCTCAGGTCATAATCCCAGGGTCCTGGGATCGAGTTCCGTGTCAGGCTCCCTGCTCAGCGGGAAGCCTGCTTCTCCCTCTGCCTGCCCCTCCCCCTGCTTGTACACTCTCCCTGTCAAATAAATAAAAATATTTAAAAAAATAAATAAAGGCTCTGAGAAGTTCTGCAGTAAATAAACCAGTTTGTTTCATCTACTAGTCACAATTATTTACTGATTTTTAAGACTTATTTGACAGAGAGAGGGACTGCAAAGGAAGGAAAAGCCTCATCTCCATCCTATAAAAGAATGAAGACAGGCTGGAAATAATTCATAATCAAAAGATGCAAAATCTCAGTCTTTAATATGAGATACGGTCCTTATACTATGCCGGGTAAAGCCAGTTAGCTAACAGACCTATTTTGGTTAGTCCATCAGTGTTTGTTTTTTTGAAGAGTGAGAATGATTTACCTATACGTTCAGATGGGGGGATTTCATAGAAGAATCTTGACCGACCTTCTTGGATTTTGGGAGCACCTGGCCACCCTGGGAGCTTTGCTGCTTGGCTGGTTGCAGCTCTGGTTAGAAGAGCCTGCACTCTCCTGTTTCCCAGCGTCTCCAAGCGCCCTACTAGCCCTACTAGCCCTACTAACGTGTCCGCCTTATCTGCCCATCCCTGCGGTTATCTAGGTTTTCAACACCTGTTCCACAGCAGCATGCAAGAACTGTGTTGCGTTTCCTGGCGCGATCTGTGACGGTGGGGTAACTGATAAACGACCTTGGTTAGAGCAAACTGGAGCCATCTCCCTTCCTCACCCACCTGGGAGTCTTCGCTTTGGCGTCCCAGACCTGGAAGGTCCTCTCATCGATCTTGCGAACCCCGCCCAGCTCAGCTCAGCCGCCTTCCTGCTGCATTCAGCGACTCCAGCCGATTGCCACCTCTCCGTCCTCTGGAGAGCCCGGGCTCTGGAGCACTTTATTTTGCGTTTGTAGTCGACTGGTTCAGGTGTACGCAGCCTAGCAGGTAGGGGCTGAGCCATCTACCGGGCGGTATTCCCTCCCAGGGCCAAGGGTTTCAGAGCCGAGGCAAGAGATGCTCAGAGGACGTCAGGCAGACACTTGGCGCACAGGTGCCGCGGCGAGGCCGCGCACGGGGAGGGCAGAATTACTGGGGCGTCGTCGGCTCCCTCGGCCACACGGGGCGAGGTACTGGTTTCCTGACGCAGACGCGCGGATAACGCAGAGGAAGCACTTAGCCGAGCTTCCCCGCACCTCCCGGCGGACAGCCCGTCCGCTCCTGGCGAGGGGCTGCGGGAGCCGCCTCCCCAGCGTGCGTGGCCTCCTCCCTGCACCCCCGCGGCCTCGGCG